CATTTTGTAGAGCTTAAAAAAACAAATAATTTAGTATATTGAAGCGTTATTATGCGCCTAATGGTTACGGAGAAAATTCCAAAAAATTGTAAATTTAAAATTCCCATGTTATTCTTATGGAGAATAAGTAAATTGTTGTAGTTTGCTTGTTTATGAACATATTTTGATCAAATTTGGAAAATGTTTTTATTTCTTACTAACTATTAACGTTTAAAAAAAAAAAAAAAAAAACAGTTTTACCCTCCCTGATGCAGCAAACCTAAGTACTAGTTAAACTAATTCTATTTAAATAGAGAATAAATGTTATATTTTTAAGTAGACATTTCAGTGTAAATCCAATCAGTCAAATGGAAATTCGCTTAGTCTGCAGGTTTGCTGCGGCGGGGGTATTTATTCTTAAGAACTATAAATAACCGGTTATATTTCATCACTAGAGCGTAAATTGACTCTTTTCCACCCGAGCTCAAGGAAAATGGGCGAAGGTTGAAAGATACTCGACCGCGTGATTTACTATATTTTTCGTCATATTACAACAATATTCAATAAACTGGTTAGAAAATGAAAATACTGTTCATTTAAAGATAACATCTCAAAACGACTTACAACTTTTTCAAGTTTGCTAACGCGAATGAGCAGCTGCTCAGTAATTGATTCGACCACTATTGCAACAATAAGCTAAAACCGGTTTAGTTACTCAATAAATATTTTCGATACATACGATTGCTTAGAATCGAAGTTTACAACTATTTAACTGCAGATTTTTACCCCCTAGGAACTAAAAAGGCTTTTTAGTCCTATGACGCCTAGTAGCGCTTTTAGGGAGTAAAAGAGCTACTTTAGACCCTCAACAATGTATGTATTAAACCGCTTTTTTGCTGCAGTGTGACGAAAAAGTTATTTTACGCAAACCAGAGTTTTGCGACCCCTGTGAAGTAATTCTGTAATAAAAATAAGACGATCTAAATGTAATTTTTGATTAAATGATGTTTAATTTAATTTTAACTTTCATTATTTTTCCGGTAGGCCATAATAAAAACTGTACACAGTTTATCATGGTTGTCACTAGAGGGGTCCCTAATTTAAATAAATATATCAGACGCATCAAACACGCTACAAACCTGAAACTTGAAGAGAAAAATTTAAGCCAGGTGGGGTTTCCAGGTATGAATCAAATTGGCTTTAAGCGTGGATATTTTCATTTTAAGTACCACAATATACTTTTACTGTGATGGAGATATTCACCTAAGAATTGTCTAAACTAAGGAAAGGGTAGTTTTTAAACTTTTCTAAAAATAATTTCTTAAATAGGTAGCTAGGTGGTTCTATTTTAAAATAAAAATACTGTCCCAAATGATTGCTTGCAGATTTTGTATTGTACTCTAAAGCCACAAACGAAATTTGATAACAGTTGAGGTTGACGATTGTAGGAAGACTGTCAACAACCGCTGTATCATGCGGTGCGGCGGCCTATGTGGGGCAAGGGCTGTAGTCATTGTTGTGCCACAAGATTGGTATCTTGACTCAGGAAACACCTCGGGCAGTCGCAGAAGTCCTACAGCTCTAAAGGTTAAGGTTGTGTTACGAGTCTGATTGGAGTGGATGTGATTTCATGTACCGGTTGGCAGACAGAACTAATAGATGGTGCAAACTGTGCAACATCTGTCTTAGTCAATGGTATACACGTAAATATAACTATTTGTAACTTGTTATTCAATCATAAATAATAAAATTATATATATATATATATATATATATATATATATATATATTTATATATATACTGGTGGCACCTCTGTGAAACGTAAAAATTGCAGCATAATGTTAAGAAAGTAAATTTAGAGTCCTGTTTTTGGCATGCATACTGTCATCGTTTGAATTCAAATAATAGTTGAAATTGGAACGAAAACCTATAATCTACTATGACTATGAACAAAACTAAAATTGATTTAATGATAAGTTTTAACCAGAAACACCACAGTGTTAATTTTATCTTGGCTACCATCATTCATGATCAAGTTTATGTTATTCAAACAGGATTGGCAACTTAATCCACTTGATATACTATCTTGTCTTATTAAAAATATGAATTAAGTCAAACCCAGTCAGATTTTATAAACCTAAACTTGTTATTTTGTGTGTAAGTTCCAGACGAATTTTTGAGATATTTCTTATCTTTGTAATTTTATTCTTAACCCTAAACTCTAACAACTATTTCTACAAAAAAAAAAAATAATAATAAAAAAATACACATGGACAGTATGAGTTTGCGTTAAAAACCTCGTCTCCGAATAATTCTTTCTTTCCTGTGGATAAGAAGATGTACCCGATCACATAGTATGTTAAAACAACCGTTTTATCTACAGTGCGTGAACAAGTTAGCTTGACAACAGAAATGGTTCAACATTGGTGTCATTTTCAATCTTTCACACATTAAATCTTACAATAACGGTTCCTAAGTCGATTGGCAGTGTTATGCAACAAACAGAGCACAGACAGGAAGTGAAGACAGCCAAGAGTAATGAACAATTTTTGATCAGCTGCATAATTTGATAGTTTAATTAATTGGCCCTCGGTGATGAAGTCTCAGACAATGAGGTTTTCGTCACCAGTAATAAGACCTCGGCCACACCCTTAGCGTGGACGTAGCGGTCTTTTGAACTGGTGCAAAATGTATATTAGAGTAGTTTTGTAAGCTACTAAAAACCCTATGAGGTGTTAATATATTTATTATGTATACATTTTCCTGATATTACATATTATAAATACTCGACAGGCGACAACTAAAATATGAAGAGTATACAAGTAATCAGCGTGTCATTTACGTTGTTTTCTAACAAAGATAACCTAGTTAATTCGGAAATGTAATTTTTATTTTATTGTTTTAGTAGGTAAAATTAACGAACGAAACCAGGTAACCTTTAAAAAGAAAACTAATCTCGATATGAGACCTATTACAGAAGCTATTTTTGTGAAGCAAGGATATTTCAGGAAAGAGTCATATTTAATTATACGTTAGGTAATGCAATAACAATTATTAAATATTATCAATCTGAAATACTTTTAATGTTACTTTGATAATTTTAACACTTTAATAATAATCAATAACTATCCGAATAAACGATTAATGTTCGAACGAATTAATTATTTGAACGGATTACGTTATTATATGTATATATTTTATTTACAAATTGATCAAGGGACAAAAATGTTTTTAAAAAATTAGAAATTATCTAGGCTATATGAATGAATGAGTATTTATACTTGTTAAACATCTTATTTTATTCAACGGCAAATGAGTCACAAAAACATTGTTGAGAAAAATACACCCCTTATTATAAATAGACCCTTGTTATTTTTCTAGACACAAAAAAAAACATAAAAAATAAAAAGTAAAAAATACATAATTAAAAATGTTCTTACACTTACAAACTACTAATCTAAAAAAAATTGCGACTCGATGTTCATTTTAAAATGGGTAAAATGTGCCTTTTTAAAAGTATAAATCCCCGCTCCGCAGCAAACCTCCAGACTAAGCGAATTTCCATATACCTGACTGGAATTCCACTAAATTATTCCCTTAAAATTGACAGGTTTATTTCCTATTTAAATATATACATATACATATATAAATTAAAATAAATATATATTTAAATGAGCACTTAGCTTTGCTGCTTCAGGGAAGACAATGAGGTGTGTTTTTTATTGAAATATTGATAGATTAGTATGAAGTAAGCAATTTTCCATATTTTATTGAAATATGCCCATAGTCAAACGAGCTACAACAGATTAATTACCCATACAACATGGTAATTTACAAGTTACACTGTTTGTAATTTTTCCGTAACTGTTAGGCATAAAACAACGCTTCAATATACTGAATTATTTTATTTTTGAGCTCTACAAAATAGTTTTGAAAGGAATTGTAATTCTTTTCTTTCACCTCATTTTCAACTCCATTTTCACCCTATAATACCCCCCCAATAAACCTCTGTTGCCACAGACCTATCATGCTGGTTCGCGAACTCGTTTGAATAAATGTTGGTTTACACGTTTATACAAAATTTAATCAAAATCAGACCATTTATGTTCGAGTTGTTGCAGTACTTATGAATCATATACGGCAGCAGATTTAAAAGACAATTTGATTTGGGAAGTGCAAACGGATTTAAATTTCAAATACAAATTGATGGCTGAAGTAAATTAATAATCGCTGGCTAGTCTGTATGATTAGTATTGTGAATCTAAAGGTAAACATTTAAGAAGAAAAAAACAAAATCACTGAACGTAATTCATAGTTAACGGGATCAATCAACCTCTACGCCGATTTCAACTACTATGACCAGACAAATCGTACCATTGGGGTGGGAGCCAGCTAGAATAGTTGTGGATGAAGTACAGAACATAACACTCTCGTCTCAGATTAAACTACTCGTAGCCTACTCGTAGGCCACGATGCGAGCTCATTTTAGAGACGTTAATAACGGGCACCCCTCGTAGTTACAGCAAATAAAAACATTCTTGGCATGAAGACAAATGAAATAAGGGTAATATACTAGTGATCCTGGGTCCCGCAATCAGTGATTAACATTATTGTTTCTCAGCTGCGAGAACCTAGTATTTTAGTTACTTTAGTGAAATATAGATGAGGGCAATTCATCACTACTTATTTGTTATTTAAAACTAGTGTTAGTTGAAAGATACAAGCAGGTTATGCGATTTACTAGGTCAATCTTGATAGTTAGCTCATAGAGCGATTAGGAATAAGCATGCGAGTAGTAACTGTCATGTGGAAATGACACCACCTTATCATGACCATGTCTCTACTATACAACTCTAATATACAACTTTTAATCCAACAAATGAATGAATGCCTTAAATATCCGTGCGCGTTTTCCAGTACGTACTGTTTTACAGGACAGATAGCCTACACCATTTGGCTCCCAGTATCATCAGTACGTATCATCAGTAGCCCTTTGACTGACAAGTGTAGGGGTCCCGGCCAATGGTCGTAAATTCAGGGGCCATATTTATATAATATAACTAACCTAACCTAACCAAACTTCTATATGCGGATTAGGGCCTGAGGTGGCCGGTTCTCCGTTTCCCTCGACTGACCCAGTTCTCGCTCATGCACGGTGCACTGCTGGGTCCCAAACTAGCGGTGGGTTACTCATGAATTACAATAGTATGAATGTATGAATGAGAGCGAGTGTCTCTAGTCTGCCCACGTCGGTTATTACCAACGAGACAATGGTGTCTACCGTCTACCAGGTGTATATAAGCGACAGACACTCCCTGCTATCACACTACTTACCCTGAGCTTCTCTGACAGCGACGCGCCATGGCAGCCAAGGTAATGTACACAGTGCACACTACCCTACACGTACAATTGTTTTATCATGTTGTTTTATGAGTTTCTCAAAAGGTCGCCGGTTCGATCCCGAAAAAGTTCCGTAGCTTTTTGAAGGCTCGAAACTGGACCGAGCTGTTCCTGATCATTGGGCTTAAAATAAATGTTTCTTGGCTAATGCAACTAACTGCTGATCTTAGTCAGTAACACTCCATTCTACAATCATCTTTCACTCTAATTTGGGTTAAAATACGCACCTAGGTGGCGTCCCCACCTCAAGTGGTAATTATTTATCTTTGGTCGGTGGTTAGAGAGCGTACTTGTTTATAGCCCAATGTCAAATGGCGACTAGGCGTATTTCACAACCCCTTAAACAGCTAATGACTCTTTTTGTGAATTCAACGGATGCCCTGTTGGTTGATCTTCAGGCGAGCTCCAAGCCACTCAGTTTCCCTGATTCAAGCTACAGACATTAATAGACGAGCGTTCGGTTCTTTACGGGATATAAAACATAGTTACAATGTCCGGGTATGTACTTTGACGGAATTGCTGCTTTCTATTATTCTACTAGCTGGCCCGACAGACGTCGTCCTGTCCTATTGTGGTTTTATGTCGTATGCTCGTTCATTTTCAAGATGAGCTCGTTCGCATGGCTCAATCACGTCCTGGTTGAAGTTCGTTCGCTACGCTCACTCACCTTTAGGTTGGAGCTCGTTCGCTGCGCTCACTTGCCTTCAGGTTAGCTCGTTCGCTACGCTAACTCGCCTCCAGGTTGAAGTTCGTTCGCTACGCTCATTCACCTTTTGGTTGCAAATTAGCTGTTCTCATAAATTAAAAATAAATATAGTGCTGCACCCTGTTGGTAAACCTATTAACTTTTTAATGCTATTGAACATCACAGAATCAAATTGTTTAGTTGCACCAGCTGTTAAGATTCTTTAATTCCATTTAAATATGAGTACTCATAAGGTTAACATGGGAAACTCCAGAGCCACTGGGGCGGAGCCCTATTGACGGATCTGCACCAAACTTCACACAAACCATCCTTGAATAATACTTAATAATGCCTGAAAGTTTCATTACAATTTGTCGAGCGGTTTTGGAGTCCATAAAGGACAAACATACAAATATACAAACATACAAATATACAAACATACATTGGATTTTATATATATAGATTATTAACCTATCACCTGCTTCACAGAATAGTTAGTTCTAGTTAGGAAGAAGCGCCCTTATCTCTGCGGCTGCGTTTTGGTAAGCACATGGGATTCTGTCTCTAACTTAAATGATCAGACGAGTCAAATGTTTAATGTTTATAATATTGTTAAGGCTATACAAACTCTCTTTGAAACTTTGGAGAGGTATATTGCTAATACTGTACTAAAACAGAGAAGGCTGTCAGCACATAACACAATTATTGCCAATTACCAACAATATTAATATTGTAAGATCGTGATTTCCCTTTTGCTTTCGGTATTAAAGTCAATTAGGATAACTAGTAGGCCTACTATCAAAATTAAATATCAATATTATTATTCCCCCCCGGTGGTAGGTTGTTGATCATTAGGGGGATCAGTACTACAGTTTCAAATAATTTAAATTTATAATATTCAACGGACAAATTTTATTATTAAGTACTGATAAAAAATTATTTTTGTTGTTTGCGTTTTACGAAAGTACCTTAAACTTAAATATTCATCCAACTAGTTTAGGCGTCATAGCAGACGGAGGAATCGCAATGACCGAGTCAGTGAATTGACAAAAATAAACTATGATGATTATATAAAGTTAGATATAACTTATGATTTATTGATAATATTGTTAAACATTATGATTTATTTAGCTATGCTCGGGTAAATTTTAAATAAGATATTTTATTTAGAAACAAAAAATAAATATTTTAATTAATTAGTTTTACTTTTTAATCAGGTCAGTAGGTACTTAATCCTAATCATAAGACTGAAGCCCTAATAACAGGGCTTTAGCTCCAAACTTGAAGAACTATCCCACCGTAATTCATTTGTTGGGATGAATCTAGTTTATTATAACGCCGCGCCGTCTTCGGTTTAGAATAAATAATATCAATAACATTAATTGTTACCGTCTTGAATTCATAACAAACAAAAACACGTTGAAGTCTGAAATTTGATAGTTTAAACCATAAAGCTTAACGTAACTCTACAAGTCGTTGACTATGGATACAACTAGACATTCCATCGCCGTGTTAAAGCTGTTGGCAGTTTTTAAATCAAAATCGTCACAGTAGGCGTGAGCCACCTATAGATTGTGCTGATTTAAATTTCTGATTTCTGTCGCATCCACAAACTTTTTACTGAGTCAAACTGGTGGAACGACATATTGTGGGATATAGCAAGTGTTATGACTTGAAAAAATAAAATCGTATACACTAATGCATTTTGTGACTTGCACACTCAACTATGTTCGTCCCTATAGGGAAATTCGCTAAAATTTAGTATGAATACATTGCAACACATTATAGTACAAAAAGGTGTACGAGATTTTTACTCATGATCAAATTAATGCAGTCACTAAAACCATAGATTAAACATGCTCTCTAAGGGAGTATGTTTTATCTATTGAAGTCTATTTTTATGGTGATTTATTGCGGTCTTAACTCTGAAACTTACGATCGTAAACGAAAGTGTTAGCTGTAACGTTGTTACTACCTTGGCAATTACAGTTTAGTTTTCTACAGTTTATGCAGTTAGTGTATTTTAATTAAGTTGTCGATTGATATTCTTTAAATATAGTCGTAAATACTACGAAAGAAAGTAAATACATGAAGGGGCAACTATGTCCAAATGTTAAAAACAATATACTAATTCAATTTAAAAGTTTGAGATAATAGGGGGTTATTAATTCTGTACAGGCATAACTCACTGATTACAATCAATTTAGTTTATCTACTTACACCAAACAAAACACCATACCTCACATACAAAGGTGCATATTGTAAACAGCCCCCTTATAATGTGGGGGACGAGATGTGGTAACACGAAATAGCGAGGGGAAATATGCATAAACGTGGCTCTAGCAAGTTATACAATATTAACACACTCTTTGGTGTCGGACTTATTGTTCAAAAGTAAGACATAAAATCAAATGTAGTTTATTAATGGCTAAATATTCTTTTGAGACGTATTTATCACTTGACGGTAATCTATAACAACAAATATTACACCCAGTTGTTGGTAGTCAGTAGTCATGGAACATGTTTTGTGTCAACTGTTTAATATGAAGTACTTCTCTTGTAGTAAACCTGCAACAGTGAACAGAATACATAAATATAAGTGAGCCAATATAAATGCATAATCCTACAAATTAGTTCTTTTCCTGGTATTTCTAGGAACAGTTTTCAACAGTCGAGTAGTTGAGTATTGAACGCGCTAAATTGACTGCGTGAGTATATCACGATTAAACGTTTTGTATGACAACACTTAAAATTACATCGTTAAAATTTTAGCACCGGAATTTTATTTCAGTTTTTTTTATTTATTTACTTGCCTTTTATTTACAAACACACTTTAAAAGTAGGTTCTTTTTATAAAGGTATTTTTGTGGTCTTTTCGAAATCCGGAGAGAAACTTTGTACATATTTTCATGTTTGCCAACACCTTAAGTTGAAATGAATAACTGTTTCTTATTGCTATTTGGTTACAAGAGAACGCAAGGTATTATCTTTGTATTATGACCTGTGTCAATGTACTGAATTAAAATGTATCGTCACAGATAAACTGTTGTTGAAAACAAACCGAACAATCACGGTCCTTTTAAAAACAATAACTAAACTATTGAATGAATAATTTGGTTGCATTTTACGGTTGCCTAACTCAAAAAACATATAAAAAACACATACTGAAGCTTTTCAAACAATGATCCTACAATATTTATCTTCCAAGTTAGCACTTGAAAACAATAGTGTTTGCGTTTTAATGCTCTCGGTGAATAAAATAGCACAGTGAATTTATCCATCCTAATAGCAAAATACCTGGAAAGCTGTTACGGTAGTTCGGTGGTCATCTTCAAGCTATGAACGATATACAGTAGTAAGTTATAGGTCCACCTTTTTTAATGTGCTACAACTATGTTTTGAACTGTTTGTTGCAGTTGATAGTTATCGCCACTGCATTGGCTGTTGCCAAGGGAGCCCTCCTTGCAGCCCCCGCTTACGCACCTTCTGCGTACGCCGCCCCCGCTTACCACGCCCCCGCCGCCCTCACCTCTACCTCTGCCAACATCCTGAGGACCCCCGGCAACCTGGGACAGGTCTCCACCTACACCAAGACCATCGACACTCCCTACTCTAGCGTGAGCAAGTCTGACGTCCGTGTGAGCAACCCCGGCTACGCCACCTACGCCGCCCCCGCCTACGCTCCTGCTGCGTACGCCGCCCCCGCCTACCACGCCCCTGCTGCGTACGCCGCCCCCGCCTACCACGCCCCTGCTGCTTACGCCACCCCCGTCAAAGTCGCTGCTCCAGCTGGAAGTCTACTGGGGGTTGCTTACTCGGCCGCGCCAGCTGTCTCCCATATGTCTTTCGATGGTTATGGAATTCAATACGTATACTAAACTTTGATTTCATCATTACCAGCTTCACATCGCACATCACCAAACCTCAGTTCCTTTAATGTATGATATTTATTTTTTTGAATTGCAATAAAACCAACAGTTACCAATCACACTGCCCTTGTGTTCGGACCAGTAGAGGTATTTATCGAATCAACAGACAGATGAACATTTTGAATCGTTTACTGCTTATAATTGGTTGGTTAAGCTCACGTTCCAATTGAAACCTGATGACTTTATTTATTTATAAATGTCACTTATAAAGTAATTTTTGTTGTAACTCCTACTTTACTTCTATATCCAAACTAGTGGTCTTTGACGTAATGTTTTATGTGTAACTTAAGGCTAGTTTTTTGCCACGGCGGTGGTGTTTTGACCGCTGCCACATCCGCCAGGGTCCGTCCAAGGTCCTCCCTTGACCGAGATCCGGTGGGCGAGGCAGATCTTTGTCCGCTGGATCACCAGTGGCAGGGTGGAGCTTCATGTTGCAACCCCCAGCCGGCAACATGCAGCAAATCATGTCTGCTGCACAACCTGTTCCGAGACTTGCTATCTCGCTGTACTCGTCTGAATTTTGAAGTCAGCTCAAGCTGTCTCATACATCAAACTTCTTCATTTTAATAGTCAATCTGAGTATTAATATTTTACACTGTTACACCGAAATAACTTTCAGATTGTTTTACGAAATCTATATAAAAAGCTAAGATGGATTTGAATTTTTTTTGAAAATCGTTAGCCGCACACCTATCTACCATATACTTAAATGAAAGGTCTTGGTGTGATACTTCCCCAAAAAATATCAGTTTTTTTATAAACCCTCTCTTAATGGCAGGAACCTTAATAAAAGGGTCATATTTAACCATATTTAAAATGTTGAAGATACATCAGCTGTTAGATTTTATTTGTTTTAGTTTGTTATTTCTTTACTTTTTCTTGAGTTAACCTTTTGACCCTTTGAATTGTGTTTCTTTTGTTTACTTATTAGTTCAGTATTATCTATTTGTCTATGGTATTATATATATTTTTAAACACAGTAAAATTGATGTTGCACACAAATGTTGTGTGTATAATTAAGGGACACAAGAACTATAGAGTTTGACAGATCCTTATGTATTCCAACTGGGGAAAACGCATCTGTAGAGTATCGTATTTTTCCTTGTGACATTGACATTGATAAAATTAATTTACATCAAGACCAGCAGTTTGCATTGGACAAGGCGGTAAAGAATCGCCATATCTTCTCTATATTCCCTCCATGTGGCAAGGCAGTACAACTAGTCTGAATAAAATAAAATTATGTGTACAATTTAAAAATATAAATATAAATAAAAGTGCTCGTAGTGTATGAAAAAATATTAGTTCGGTGAAATTGTTTTAAAACGTTTCATGTCCATGTAGGTATAAGTAAATTTACGAGGGTAAAAGACACTTATTGTGATGCACCATGTAAAATGTGTCAATAGTGACTCGTGAGGTGTCTTGTAAAACACTATGTATATACATGCTACACACTTTGACAACACTTTGACCATGTGTGCTGAGAAGCTGTGGCATCGATCTAATATGATTGACACACTTAATTCCGTACACATGATTATGTGGCACAGAATATTTTGGTGAAACCAATTCTTAGTTTATTAATTCGCGATAATCCGACGACTTTATTTATACATTCATGGAATCGGTCAAATTTGACATTTGGCTTTGATTGTGTGTCTTTGTTGACTGTTAAAATAATAGATTTGTATGTAAATCTCTCAATCTGTCTCTTGCAAACCACATTTAAATGCTGACATTATAATTATAATGTATAAGATATACATCCGAGTCTAGACATAGCTATTTACAATCTTCACATAATCATGTGAAGATTGTAAATAGCTATGTCTAGACTCGTATGGTTCAATTTCAACGTGCCTTTTAAAGTCCAATTCGGAATTCAATTCAAGCACCAACGCAGGCGTTATTGCATGTGCTTTGAGGCATGCCTTTCAGGTGTCCACACTCACGCCTCACTTACAAATTAATCAGGAATATGCAAACCAACTTTAAACCTCGTATTTGCTGTCTGTTCCCGCACTACTATAGCAATTAACTTTAGTGCTCTTTTGAAAAATATGACCGCAGCTTTTTAAATAGAGAGTGTGAATCTTATATACTATACTAATGTTTTTGTTTAACAAACTCACCTGAATGGCTGAAGCGATCCCTACAAAATTAAGAAGAAAAAAATAGTAACCAACAATGGGAAGGTATACATCTGAAATTGCACAAAAATCGGGCTTTTCATGTTGAAATTAACACTTTTAGAAATTTTACATGGGTTATTTGGTTGCCACGAGAGTATTTGCAAGATAACATAATTGGTAAAGATAAGAGAGTCGTAACATATTTTAGAAACAAATCATATAAGTGCATTACAATAATAAAGAACAATACAGGAGAGAAGAACAATCGGATTAATATCGTTTAGCATAATTTAGTATAAAATGAATATCCAATCAGTCTTGCACCATTGGCTTAAGATTCGGGTAATCATTATTCTCTTTATGTGAACCAAATATACCATTGACTTTGGATAGGTACTGCAAAGATACATCCCATTTATGTGAATCGAATGGACCATTGACTTTAGATACTTTAAATAGACATCTCAATTACGAGAAACAGATGTAACATTATTTTGGAAATTGCTATATTAGTTATTCCCTTTATGTGAACTAGATATAGCATTGGCCTTGAATACTCAAGTAGACATGTTACGTAAAACAGATATAGCATTGACTTTAGTAAGGTACTGGCTTAATAAGCTCACTCCACTCAACATTGCAAGCAGATAACTGCACTCTACACCTAGTCATTTTATTTCGTAAACCCTTCTCAGTCATGCTGTATTTTGCTAAATCCAGGATCATTTCGCTTTATTTTTTTAGTGTTAAAATTTACTCCCTATGAACCACAAACACACATGAGAACGGTAATCTTCTAATGTTTCTTCGGTATTCATGTTGCTCCAAAACACTACAACACGGACTACATGTCAAAAATCTAAAGCAGTTGCGAGTTGAAACGCACAGAAATCCAATGCTGGCGGATCATCTTGTGCTATGCTGTGCGCTGTGGAATGGAATGGAGCTCCTGCCGACTCAATTCGGGCAAGCTTGGCGCACACGAATGTGGACGTACTTTATGATATGCGCTTATATCACGTAAGTAAAGATGTCATTGCCATAAATTACGTGTCTAAACTGTAATACTTTTTTATTAAGAATAATAAAACCCGACCATATTGTGTAAAGTAAACTGATTTTTAAAGACAGTATGAAAATGATTGCAAATGTGGTGCCAGTGCGTGTTCTCCACGGCAGAAGTCAGGGCAATAACCGCTGCAGGCATGCCTGTGGTGAGATTGAAACCCTTGCACATGCCCTTGGCTTCTGTCCGTTTGGTGCACTTCTAAGAAACACGAGGCACCACAAAATAAGAATTATCATAGCAAATGCCTTCCGAAAAAGGTATAATACATGGGAAGTGCAAGAAGAAGTACACTGTCTTTCTTCTAACGGAAGCACAAGAAGAGTAGATATTTTATTGATCGAAAGAGAAACTTACAAAGGCATAATTTTCGATCCTACAATTTGACTTGAAATAAACATAAATCAAGCTAACGAAGTAAATGAAGAAAAGAAAAATTTATGATTCTACCTTTGAATATATCAAGCAAAATTTTAAAATTTCGAAAATTGAGGTGATTGGATTGTTTATTGGTTCTAGAGGAACATTATCAAAATTTTTTGTGAACTTTTGGAAACAATATGATTTGGACAGATCCTTTTTGAAAATTATTATTCATGAAACATTAAGAGGTTCATTGACCATAATGAGAAATCATCTATATGGCAAACATCAAAATTAATCAGTCTTATAGCTGTATAATCCTTCGATATTTTATGTGTACTATTTTTCTGTGTTATTGGCAACCTTATTTTTTAAGGCAGAGGTATTTATTTTTATAAATAAATTCTTTTCTCTTTATGTAGACGAGGTGTTAGCCCGTCCTACGTACGGGAATTCAGTAGTCAGTTAAAACCGTGTACAATTCAGATCAGCTAGTTTACACATATAAAGACAAAGTTTCTTGCAGTTTTAATGTGAAAAATCATCTTGTAAACAAATGTTGTGTGACCAAATATGTTTTTATTCCATCATAGGCCTATACGATATGTATTTTAAATCCGATAATTTTACAATAAAACAGCAAAATTCCGCAATTTTTACGATGTGAAAAGCGTTGAAGTGAGATTTGCAGCCGATTCGCACACTGATTATAAGTAGCCTACAGTAGAGAGAGTAATAGTCAATTGAGAAATGTATGGACCTAGTCAACGATACCACCTTTCATAGCATACCTGCCTCTTCCATAATTATTATCACCACAATACAACTACTATACACAATTTCCAGTAGGTCTGAATAGAAACGACCTAAAATAAAACGATAGTATCCAATAAAATTCACAGTACACATAATTTAACTTTGGTGTCCTAACATCAAAACTAATCGTCACACCTATCCTTTATATCAATTTCACTGCATTAATTGCTAAATAAATAAGCGTTAACAAAGAAAAGTAAAAACAATAACAGTTTGTTTTGAAACAGCTGTTTGGTTCAAATAGCATTCATTCGAAAAAAAGAACTGGTCACATGTAACAGGAATATAAAAAGTAAACACGCTAGTAAAGCTAATTACGTAATTTTCAATGTTTATTATCCATACCGTTATCAGTTCTATCCTTGATAATTACCCACCCTCATTGAATAAACGTACATCGTAATTTCCCATATTAGTTAATTTAAACTACAATATATTCATAGTTGAAATAAAAGTGAAATTTTCACGTTTGGGGGCGCTGATATAGGCACCCCCAAACGTAACCACAACTAAACACTATTTCATAAAAGAATGGTTTCCTAGGTCAATGTTGACGTTGTGTTCAATCTATGTCATCCATCTGTTTATCTTTGTATAAAACCCGGCTGAGGTTGTGGTGGTAATTTAAAATCGTGATTCCTGATTATTCTTGATCTTCTTTTTATGACATCAATATTTC